TCCTAGCATACCTTCTCTCCTTTCATTTCCCCATACCCTCTCTGGGTGACATTCTTTCTGCTTAATAGCAGGAGGATCAGCTGGTGGTCTCAGGGTAAGAGAATGAGTTGTGGGTGGAAATGGATAGAGAAGTTTAAAGCTTACATATTTCCCCAGTAGCCCAGAAAATGTTGCCATAATAGGGCAATGGAGTAATTTCTTGCACACCTTGGAGAACTCTCTCTCTCGTGAATCAAAAAAAAAAAAAAAAGACCACATCCGTTGCCATGGAGTCGATTCCAACTCATAGTGACCCTATACGACAGAGTAGAACTGCCCCATATGGTTTCCAAGGAGCGGCTGGCATTTTCAAACTGCCAACCTTTTTGTTAGCAGCCGTAGCTCTTAACCACTGTGCTACCAGGGCTCCCTCTATTGTGAAGTCTTCTCAAATCTGTACTCAGAAGGGAGGCCCTTTGAAGGAGTAAAGGTGGTGAAAAAATAGGTTTTCTTAAACCGTTGTGGTAGGCAGAATTCTAAGATGACCTGTCAATTACCCACACCCTTTCACGACACACCTTCCTTTGAGTGTGGGTCAGATCTGTGTATACGACGAGATGCCACTTCCATGATTAGGTTACTCATCAGTGGGCTTTGCAGTTATCAAAAGGGACATTCTCCTAGGTGGACCTGACCTACTCAAGTGAGTGCTTTAAAAGACCTTCAAACCAGAAGAGACGTTTGCTCTCCTGCTGGCCTCTGAGATGTGGTAGCCATGAGTTCTACAGTTGAAAGGAAATTAATTCCACCATGGGAGCATGAAAGAGGATCATCAGCCTCACATGAGACCACAACTCCAGCTGACTCCTTGATTGCAGGCTTTAAGACCCTGAGCAAAGGACCCAGATAAGCCGTGCCCAAACTCTTGACCCATGGAAACTGGGAGATAATAAATGTATGTTGTTTCAGTCTCTAAGTCTGTGGCATTTTCTTCCACAACAATAAAAAACTAATACAGACATCTTCAAGGGAAACTCAGTACTCACCCCACTAGAGTTACGACAGGTTACTTTGCATCCAAAGGCAGAGAGAGACACGGCAATGCAGAACTCCAGCACACTTAAAATGAGCACGATACCATCCATACCCTAGGAACAAATCCATAACAAAGGAACATGAGGAGGGAGATGAAAAATTCCAAACACTAATCACTGATTACAGGGCCAAAAGAGGAAAAGGACTGGCCAGGGCTCAGAAAAACTGGCTTCCACTGCAGCCAGAACTTCGGCCAGTTTTTGGCCTGGTAAAAGCCACTTATTTTCTCACTTATCACTGAAAAAGTAGTCGTGCTTTTTTTTTTTTTAATCCCTTGTCTTCTACTTTCCAGTGCTACTGTGAGGATAGACTGTGAAAGCACTTTAAAAAGAGGAGAAACAGATCATAGAGATCATTGTCATCTTAGTCTTTTGAAACACTTGAAATTCCATATAATGGGCGTTATGGTATGTTCTCATAGCTTAGTCATTGTAGGTAGAAATGTTCCCTCCAAAGAGGTCCAGGTCTTAATCCCCAGAATCTGTGAATATGTTAAATTACATGGCAAAGGCTGCTAATCAGTTGCTTTGAGATGGGGAGATTACCCTGGATTATCCACATGGGCCAAATTTAATTTATAAACATTCTTATAAGTAGAAGTAAGAGGCAGAAATCATAGAGAGATCTGAAGATGATGCTCTGCTTGCTTTGAAGACAGAGTAAGGGTCCATGAGCCAAGGAATGCAGGTAGCCTCTAAAAGATGGAAAAGACAAGGATCCAGATTCTTCCCTAGAGCTTCTGGTAACAACATAGCCCTGCTGAAATCTCGATTTTAGCCCAGTAAGATCCATTTCAGACTTCGACTTCCAGAAACATAAGGTAATAAATTTATTTTGTTTTAATTAACTAAGTTTGTGCTAATTTATTGCAGAAGTAATTAGAAACTAATGTAGTAATGGAGCCGTGGTTGCACAGTGGTTAAGAGCTCAGCTTCTAACCAAAAGCGGCAGTTCAAATCCACCAGCTGCTCCTTGGAAACCCTATGCGGCAGTTCTACTCTGCCCTATAGGGTCACTATGAGTTGAAATCAACGTGATGGCACACAACAACAAGGTAGTAATGAACACCAAATGAGTCTGTCTTTAATCCATACTCTAGGAGAACTGGCTTTAGATCCAATCTTTAGCCAAAACACGTACTCAGATTTGAGGGACATTGGGAAGTACTCTTATTCCTAATAATCTTATCCTAAAATGATGCCTGGGATTTTTTGGTCTAATCATTTTCTCCTTTCTCTCCTTGGGCAGGGATAGTTCCTCTGGTCTGGAGGAACCCAAGGATGAGGGACTCAGGATACAATACAAACTCAAGTGGACCTAAGAATATTTGTATTAATTACTTCATTATCTTTTCACTCATCCATTGAACAAATATTTATTCAGTAACATTTGTATTTTAAGCGTTGTTGTAGGTACTGAAGGTACGGGAGCAAATGAAAAACAATTTCCTTGACTTCAAGGATCATACCATCTAGAGGGGTAGACCAGTGGTTGGCAAATTTTTTCTGTAAGGGGCCGGATAGTAAATACTTAAAGCTTTGCAGGCTATAAGGTCTCTGTTGCAATTGCTCAACTCTCCAGTTGTAGTGCAAAAGCAGCCTGACACAATATGTAAACAAATGGTGGAGGCTGTGTTTTAATAAAACTTTATTTTCAGAAACCAGTGCCAGGCTGCATTTTCAGCAAAAAGTAGCAAATAAAAATGTATTAGTTTGAGCCACATCGAACTGCTGTTTTCCTAGGTCAAGTATAGTTGATCACTGGCAAGTTTCATACAGTTCTACCTAATGAAACTAGGTAATGTGCTATCTAAACATTTATCTACAAAGATCTCGCCGTCTTCTAACCTCTTTTGATAATTCTATTCAAAGGTAAATCCTCTAACCCTTTGGAAAACTAACTGCTGGGATGAAGATGATGATGATGAATGATAATTATGGTGATGATGATATTTTCCTCTCAGGAAGACTAGACTAGAGTTTCCTGAAAGCAGAAACATGGTTACCTTTCTATGTCTCCCAGAGTGCTGACTCTTGGATTGAGCACAAAATATGGTCTCATAGACTTGTGGGCTGAAAGTGCAGATGCCGAGATAAGAAGACACTTGATGCTTCAGATTCCAGGCAGACCTTATGGATGCCTTCTGGTGTAAGGATGGGCAGGAGAAAAATCTTCACACAATTAATGAGAATTCATGACGGCTTTTGGAAGAAGGTGATTGAGATGAAGGCAGGACAAACTACATAACTTATAGGGCCAAGTGAAAAATGAAAATGTGGGGCTTCTTTTTCAAAAATTATTAAAAATTTCAAGATAGCGACAGCAGAGCATTAAACCAACCACTGGCCTTTCTGTGGACAGGGCCCTGTGTAGACACCAAGGAAGCCATCCCCATTAAGCTGGTCAAGTACAGATTTGGTCCCTATCATTGCACCCTTAAAGTCTATTAACATGGAAAACTTTAGAGACTGAGCAAAAAATTCAAAAATTCTTCTTCAGTATACCAAAATGGAATGATCGTAAATGATATAGGAGGTGAGAAACAGGAAGTTCCAAATTCAAATCCTGCTTTTGCCAATTTCTAACTGTTTCACCTTAGAAAAATGTGTTAAGTTCTCTGAAGAAGCTCTCCTTTCTTATTTTGAATGAGTGGCAAGAAATAAAATTGTTTACTCTAAGAATTGTTGGAAATATAAAGGGGAATAGATTTTTTTAGCAAAGTTACCTCAAGGGGTTATTTTGGTATGACCATATAGCCCTGGAGACATTGGCACTGCAGTTGGTCTGCATAATAAATTAGGAACAATGCTGAAGTCCACATTTAACTGAGGATAAGATATAATGAAGACATGAGAAAAAACTAAGCAGCATAGTGGAATGCTAGATGTTTATATGGAGCAATGATTACAGAAAACTCAATGGCATTGAGACTGGCCAAGAGACTTTTAAGTAGCAAATATTTAATGCTGTATTTTACTTTGTTATCCTTGGCTGCAATCTTCACCCACCCCACACACACTTACCCCATGATCCAAAACTTCAAGAAGTTTTACTACCTACACCATCTTTTATAAGCGGTTGTCTTAGTTTGCTAGTGCCGCCATAACAAAAAAGTACCATAAAGAACGAGGATTCATTGTCTCACAGTTTTGGAGGTTAGAAGTCCAAATCAGAGTATTAGCTCTAGGAAAGAGTCCTTCCTTGTTGGTAGCTCCAGGTGTTCTTGGCATTCTTTGGCTTAGACATGAATTTTCACATGTAATTTGCCTTCCGCCTGTGTGTGTGTCTCTCTGTTTTCCCTTGTATAAGAGACCACTGGATGCGATTAGGTTTAAGAACCACCCTACTCTGGAATGTCTTGATTAACCTAACAAAGAAAAACAGGGTCATACTCACAGGTACAGGAGTTAGGACTTCAAAGTCTTCTGAGGGGACAAAATTCAATCCATAACAGTGGTAATTTGGAGAATAAAGTTTTAGGATAGTATCCATATGGGGACAAGCGGAACACAAAAGTTGTAAAATACAGAATGAAGATTGGTACTTTTCCAGGAGCAGGATGTTGGGGATAGAAACAATGAGTCATGTAAGAACATCTGGAGATGTTGGGAGGGACCCTGGGTTACTCATCACTTGTAGGATAATGTTCAAGACAATTTTACTTTAGTTAGAGAATCAGGTAACCCCATCAGAAGTTCAATCAAGAAGCTCTGGAGACGTATTAAAGACAGACACCTGAGCTCCATTTTTGGAGAGAGTAATAGTACATACTGATCAGAATTGTGAAACTAAACAAGAAAATTATGCAAAGGGTCCAGCACAATAACTGTTAGAAAGTAAGTGTTCAATAAATATGAGCTTTCTTTTCCCACTTTGCCTGATCACATATAGAGCATAAACAAGGAGGGATGTGAGATGTAGCCCTAACTCCTAAATAACACATTGCCCTATTTCTCAAAGTTCCCATAGTGATCAAGCAAGTAAAGAATGCTGATTGTTACTTCTGCCAGAACCAGGGCTCCTGTGACCTGCTTCCATTACAGTACTTCATGAAAAGAGGAAGAACTCACTATTAACATGGACCAGATCATGGCACAGTTTTCTGGCATCCGATTAGAGTCACAATAAAGGTGGCTGGATGAAAAAATAGTCAGGCTCAAAGCAGTGAGTATGATCCCTATGGCAGCCACGACTGAGCTGGTGATATTCAATCCTAGGCTACCTTGCACCTAGAAAGGAATGAACAGTCCAGTGACATCCTCAGATATGCCTCCATCCTTCACACCCCTTGCTTCTGCCCCAACAGAGTTATCTCTCCAACAGTAGTCTCCTAATTTGTCTCTTTCATTATTTAAAAAAAAAAACAAACCCTAACCCATTACCATACAGTTGATTCTGAAGTATGACAACCCTATGTGTTACAGAGTAGAACTGCTCCACAGGGTTTTTTGTTTTTGTTGTTGTTGAGAATATACACAGCACAATATAGACTAATTCAACAGTGTCTATATGTGTAATTCAGTGACATTGATTACAATCATGAAGTCGTGCAATCTTTCTCACCCTCCTTTTCTGAATTATTCCTCACCCATTAATATATACTCACAGCCCTCTAAGGCTTCTATCTAATCTTTGAAGTTGCTGTTGTCACTTTGATCCCATAGAGATAGTTTTTAAAAGAGCATAATGCTCAAGACAGTCATATTTTACTAGTTAAGCTAAACTGTTTTTTGGTTTTAAGAAGACTTCATAGGGGTTTTCTAGTTTTAATCTTTACAGATGCAGATTGCCAGGTCTTTCTTCTGTGGCACCACTGGGTGGGTTTGAATGTCCATCTTTAGGCTAGTAGTGAAGTGCAAACCATTTGTACCTCCCAGGGATTTAATCTCTTGCCAGAACACAGATATGATCTTGTCATTCTCAAACTTGTATCCTTCAGATGACTCCCCTAAGAATCTCATTAGAGGGGCTTACAAAGCCCTTTATACTTTAGTTGGACATATACTGTGTCCATCTCCTACCGTGTCATACTTCTGGTGCAGGATTGCTTGTCTTTCTTTAAGTGCTGCTTGCTTTCATGCCTCTATGCCTTCTGTATATTATTTCCCTCCCCTGAGTATTCCCTTATATACATCCTCTTCTCAGGGGAAAAGGTATGGAGACCTTTTATAAAAACTCAAATTTCTCAGAAAAGAGTAACAGGTTCGGTGTTGAGTGCAGCAGTAGGCACATTTTAGTCCGTATCGCTGGATGACAAGCTAGGGAGGGAGATTTGGAAGGACCATCTTTAACATGCTCCACAGTTTAGTATTTATCCTTTGAGCAAAGAATATTCAAATATGGTCTTTTGGCAGGGAAAACATTTGATGAAATCTGGGTTTTTGCCTTTTATTGACTTTGTGAAAGACAGCTTGGCATGGAAGTTATGATTTAAAATTTCTTCTTCTTTTTTAATAACCTTAGTGTGAATTTTATTTTATCATAATCTGAATCAAAATCGTTTTAGGATTCAATTTTATTATACATTATAATCATTCAGTTAATAAATATTATGTCACACCAACAATCAGTGCCCTTGTCATGGGCTGGACCTCAAGTTGCAGAGATGTTTTGAACATTCCTATTTCACATTTCCCCTAAGGAATCCTCTGTTTCTTCATAAAGATTCTCTTAGCAACTACCTTGCCAAAATATTCAGCCCCATGTCAGAAATTCTATCATGGGCCAATTGACTAATTAGCTATTTTGAAATACTAGCCCAACCAGTTAAAGCTCACAGTCTTTCCTGCTTGTTTAAAAACAATCAAGAGGACTTCCAGCAACATGACGCTCTAGGCAGAAGCACCACACTGTCCCTCCACAGCAAAGATCTGAAAAACTAAGCCAAACAGAGAAAACAGCAATCCTGAAACCCTAAACATCAAATGAAGAGATAAAGAACTCAGCAAAGCACCAAATGGAATAAGAAAGTGACAGAGAGTGAGGAGACATACATGCAGAGGTGCATTATCAGTTAACTCACCACGGATCTCCCAACTCAGCATGGATCTGCCATCTTGGACTCCCATCAGGGACCAGCAAATGGGGGTATGAGAAAGCAGCTTCACGGAGCTTCCAGCAGGAGACAGAACAACCCATAAACAGCAATATATGCTTTCCCACCCCCATCCCTTCTTCACACCCACTCGGCCTCCTCTACTTCCCTCGGCCTCCTCTGCTTCCCTCGGCCACAGTCTCTTGGCTAGGAAGCACCGGCTGCTTGGATTCCACCTGCCCACACTGGCCGACTCCCTGAGTGCCATATGTTGGCTGCTGGTGTTGCTTTTTTCAACTTCTTTTGATTTCTTCCTTACCTCTCAACACCTCGCCCTCCTTTCACTCAAATACCTGGCTCCGTGTGCCATCTTTGCTTCTTCCTGAGGGGCTGTGGAGCTCCGCTCAAATGTGGAGTTGATTACCAGTCTCTGTTGCCACACTGGTGGGATCCCAGGGCTTTTTTTTTGTTTGATTGTTTCTTTTGAATTGTTTGTTTGGTTTCTTTTTCTTTCTTCAAGTTAGGAGCCTGTCCTGGCCGGGCAGTGCTGCGCAGCTTGGGACCTACACCCTTAGCTTCTGCAGATGCGTGGAGGGATCCCTGAGGGATTTCTTTTTTTGTGGGTTTTTATTTTTTTCTGTTTTTTTTTGGCGGGGGCGGGGTTCTTGTTCTTTTTTTAAATTTGTTTTCTTTTCTTTTCCCTCTTTTTGCCTTTTTGTCTTTCTTCATTACTCAGTGTCTTGTCTCTCTATACCTTCCTTCTCTTCCTGTCCACTGAATATCAGGCACTGAGTGACACCTCTAAGCTTTCTAGTCAGGCTGTACTTCAACACCTGGAAACAACTTCCACAGACCTTGTGGCTAAACTGATGGTATCCCTGGGAGCTTTTCTTTTATTTTTTTCTTTCTAATTTTTATTTATTCTTTCTTTTCTTTTTTTTCTTCTTCCCCTTTTTGTTTTTCTCCATTTCATGGTCTCTCATCTCTGCATTCCAATGACAAGCTCTCCTGGAACTCTTTTTTGTTTATATGTTTTTGGCTCCTGTTCCTTTCTCCTCTCTCCCATACCCATCTTAGCTCCACACATCACAATCTCCCCCCTCCATTCTGCCTACCGGCACCGTGCACTTAACATCACACCACCAAGCAGCAGAGGCACGGCCTACTGGAACCTGCCCTGCACTGACTGCCAGCCTGCCCTGGTGTCTGTAGTAAGTGCCACAAACAATCCATCCCAGAAACTCCTCTTCTGATAGACCTGCCCTGCTGTAGCATATCTGAGCGACTTACCCTACCAGTTGGAGAAGGAGGCAAAAAGTATCATACCCAGAGGTGAGCAAACCACAAAGAACACACAGCCCGCCTGCTCAGATATAGCAAAAAAAAAAAAAGGATGAAACAAACAAATCTATAATCAATAAACGAGAAAAATAACTACTGAATGCCCCATAGACAGCAGACAATATCAAAACATTTACAAAAACAAGACATGATGGTTCCAGTAGTCATCTAAAATAAAACACCGGGTGAATTTCCAGTAGAAGAAAAGGCACTAGAACTACCCGATAGGGAATTGAAATCTCTAATACTCAGAATTATCCAAGAGTTGAAGGAAAAAACAGACCAAAAATGTGAAAAAATAGACAAATTCATGGAAAATACAGACAAAAAATGGAAGAATTAAGGAAAATAATTCAGGAACAAAATACTGAAATAAATTCACAACTAGAAATTATACAACAGCAACAAATAGAAATCCAAAAGATAAACAACAAGATTTCAGAAATGGACAGTGTCATAGAAGGGCTGAGGAGCAGATTTGAAATGGTGGAAGACAGGAAGAGTGGAAGTGAAGACAAACACTTGGATACAACTCTGTTTCAGGAAAACTCAGAAAAAAAAATGAGGAAAAATGAAGAGACCCTGAGAATTATGTGGGATACAATCAAAAGTAAAAATTTTCAAGTGATTGGAGTTCCAGAAAAGGGGGAGAAAAGAGAAAACACAGAGAGGATCATTGAAGAACTGATGATAGAAAATTCCCCCTATATCATGAAAGATGAAAGGCTGGCTATCCAAGAAGCTCAACGAACCTCATATAGGACAGACCCCAAAAGAAAATCACAAAGGCATATCATAATATCACTCGCCAAAACCAAAGACAAACACAGAATCTTGAGAGCAGCTCATGAAAAACAAGAAGTCACATACAGAGGAGAAACAACAAGACTAGCTCAGATTATTCGGCCGAAACCATGCAGGCAAAACGGCAATGGAATGACATATATAAAACCTTGAAAGAAAAAAATTGCCAGCCAAGATTAAGACATTCTGCAAAACTCTTGTTCAAATATGATGGTGAAATTAGGTCATTTCCAGATAAACAGAAATTTAGGGAATATATAAAAACCAAACCAAACCAAACTTACAAGAAGTATTAAAGGGATTCCTTTGATCTGAGAACAAACAACTTCAGCTCACAGGATGAATCTAGGATGCATGATCATACCAGCCAGATACGAATCTAGGAAATGAACTCTCAAGGACTATCCAAAACCAAAATAAATACAGCACGGAATCAGAGCAGTTCATCTGTAAATGAAAACAACATCAGAACAAAAAAAGGAGGGAACAAACGGTGTAGGTACAGAACCTTTTAGTGGAGAGGAAGGCAAGGCAATACCAAGTAATAATAGACTGCTTCAAACTTAGAAAGATAAGAGTAAACTTCATGGTAACCACAAAGATAGTTAACAAGCATACTCACAAAAATAAAGAGGAAAAACATAAAGTCTCAGTAAAAACAAAGCCTACAAAAACAAAACAAATGAAAAAAATCCACAAACAGAAGGAATTCAGCACAGAAAAGTTAGAGGAACAAAGAAATCGTCAGCACCACAAAAGAAAAGCACTACAAAATGACACCAGTAAACTCACACCGATCAATAATTACACTGAATTTAAATGGCCTAAATGTTCCCATAAAAACATGGAGAGTGACAGAATGGATAAAAAAACAGGATGCATCTATATGCTGTCTACAAGAGACACACCTTAGAAACAAAGATGTGAATTTATTAAAAATCAAAGGTTGGAAAAAATATATCAAGCTAACAACTACCAAAAAAGCGCAGGAGTGGCAATACTAATCTCAGATAAAATAGATTTTAAAACAAAATCCACCATAAGACAAAGAAGGACACTACATAATGATTAAGGGGACGACCCATCATGAAGACATAACCATAATAAACATCTATGCACCCAACAACAGGGCTCCAAAATACATAAAACAAACACTAACTGTACTGAAAAGAGAAATTGACAGTTCCACAATAATAGTTGGAGATTTCAACACACCACTCTCAGTAAAGGACAGAACATCTAAAAATAAACTCAGCAAAGATACAGAAGACCTAAAGGGCACAATCAACCAATTTGACCTCACAGACATATATAAAACACTCCATCCAACAGTTGCAAAGTACACATTCTTCTCCAATGCACGAGGAACATTCTCCAGAATAGACCACATCTTAGGACACAGAGCAATCCTCAACATGACCTAAAATGTTGAGATAATACAAAGTATCTTCTCTGACCACAATGCCATCAAGGTAGAAATCAACAACAGAAAAAGCAAGG